TGAGCATGCTCATGCATCTTCAAACCATGAGCCCAGATAAATCTTTCTTGGTTGAGTTGCTTTTGTCTGGTATTTTGTCACAGCAAGAAGAAAAGTAACTAATGTGCAAAACTTTAACTATAACTATACAATGGTAATAACTAATTTAAAATGTAAGTACATGAGAACAGAACCCAATGACAAAATCAAAGAACGTGTGAGGAGCTGATGAATGGCTGAGTAAAATGTGGTACCCACCCAGGACAGCACATACCAACAGAAAGGGGGGAAGCTATGATACTGCAGCACAGAACATTTTGAAAATATTACTAACTAAAGAAGCCAGAAACAAAGCATTATTATACAATATTATCATATGATCCCATTTATCTGAGATGTCTAAGACATCTCAGATAAGTTTACAGAGACCATAATTGGACTAGGAGTTTACTGTTATTGGGTATATTGTATGTGGTGAAGGATGGCATGTTGGTTAGTTTTCATCACAAACTAGAGTTATCTGGAAAGAAGGAACCTCAACTGAGGAACTTCCTCCATCGAGCTGGCCTGTGGGCACATCTATGAGGCACTTTCATAGTTTTTAATTGATGCAGGAGGCCCAGCCCATTGTGGGTGGTGCCATCCCTGGGCAGGTGGGCCTGAACTATATAAGAAAAGTAGTTGAGCAAGTCTGTGGGAAGCAAGCCAGTGTTCCTCCATGGTCTCTGCTTCAGTTCCTGCCTCCAGGATCCTGTCTTGTCTTCCTTCGATGGTAGGCTGTGAGCTGTAAGCCAAATAAACCTTTTCCTCCCTTAGTTATTTTTCATCAGAGTGTTTTATCACAGCAATAGAAAGTTAACTACAACAGGCATGGGGGAGGGTGGGGAATGACTGCTAATAGGTACGTGATTTCTTCTGAATGTGATAAGGGTGTTCTGCAATTAGACTGTGCTTTTTACTGCATATCCTATGTTGAAACACTAAATTATGAATGTTAAATGGGTGGGCTGTTTAGTTTGTGAATTATATCTCAATAAGGGTATTAATTTGAAGATATCAACAATGACAAAGTATTCAATACAAGCTCCAGAGTTTACACAACTTCACAGAGACCATTATAAAGCTTTACTATGATCTAAGAAGGACATTTTTTTAGCTAGAGCATACCCATGAGTAAGACAAATCAACTGAAAACTTAAATTATAAATTTAATGTAAACTGTGAAGGACTTTTCATGAGACCCTAAAATTCACATTCAAGCCTAAGAGTCTGGAATAGCCATGAAATTTCTGAAGATAAAGACTAAGAGAGGAAGATTTATTATGAGGCTTCCATAATGAACTGAAATGATATCAGTTCAGTAATCACAAGAAAATGAATGGAACAGAACAGACCCCAAAATATAGCAGAAATCAGTATCTAACTGAGATGGCAATAAATAACAAATTCTTCATTAAATGATAACAAGAAAGATGGTTTCCATTACAGAAATCAATTAGACCCCTGCCTCAGACAACAGAGAATTATAAACGCCAGATGAGTTCTAACTGGAGAAAGCAAAATCTTCCCAGTTTAAGAAAAAACGGTGATGCCTAGAAAACCTGAAAGCTCCAGTACCTTCAAAAGGTGATCTGGCTGGGAAATGCTAAGTAAGAGCAGCAAGACACATTCACTCTGCGCATTAGATTAACCAAACCTAAGACAGCCCTAGCTAAAGACACGGGGAAACTAGGAGCTCCACTACAGCACTGAGGAGCATGAGGTAGCATCAAGGCCAGGGATGGTAATCTACAAAACCCAGTGGAACTGAAGTCACAGAGAGAGGATGGTTAAGAACAGTCTACTACCCAGTCAGCGGTGTCTGGGAATACAGACTCCAGACATTCACACATAACTTCAAGGTCTTATCAGCCATATCGACTGTAAAAAGTAGAAAGTTCTTATTGCCCATCACGGGAAATGTTTAAACCCAGGCAGATGAAAAGATGATTGCATTAAAAATGAATCGACCTGCCAGGCATGGTGCTGCACAAAAAATCCCAGCACTTGGGAGACAGGGGCTGGCAGATTCTTTGGCCAATGTGGCGCCACCATGTGGTAACAGCTCAAACAGCTTCTAAATCACTCGAGGTTTTTAGCTTTGAGGAATTAAAAATATTCATTTTTGTGTGTGTTTTGAATGAGAACTCATTCATAGATGCATTCATATCACATTCAGATGTGCTCCATTTAAATTTACTCAGTGAACCTCCATTTATCAATGTCTGCTACATCCAGATCTGGCTGTTGCCCCATCAAAGAACTGATCATCACGGGGTGGTGGGTCAGCCAACTTATTCTCCACCTAGACCTCTTTTTAAAAAAACATTTATTTATCTATCTATCATCTATTTATTGGATGTTTATGAATGTTTGCCTGTATGGATGTATGTGCACAACTGTGTATCTGATATACACAGAAGCCAGTAAAGGGCATTGGATCCTAACTAAGCAACATGACAGTTATGTATACATGCGATTACAGCCTTGCATGCGTTATAGGAAGACATAGAAATTTTTCATTCTTAATCTGGGCACTAGATTAATAGGTAGTTAGCCTGTGAAAACCCCCTTAATATGCACTTTGGAGCTTTGCAATTTTTCTGTAATTGTACTTTAATATAATGCTAAGATAAACTGACCAAGGGCTGATCAACAGTCCCTCTTTACCTGGACTCTGAGTCAAGATGATGCCAAATCCATTAGGAACTGGGCGGGCAAAAATGGAGGAGAATAGGGAGTGCTCGGTTTTCTAGGAAGAGTTTTTTGGCCAGAGAGAATCAATCGCTCTGAATATAGAAGTCACTGACAAGTTATCCTTCTGTTCCACCCAAGGAGAAGTCAGAACATGATCTATAAGACTGCTGGTTTAAATTACCAAGTGGACAAATCCCTGCTTCCCTCTCCCACACAGAAAGATGATCTGTGTGGGATCTCAGAGAGAATCTTGCCACACACAGGCATACCATCTCCACAGAGCTTTGCATACATACATACATACATACACACACACACACACACACACACACACACAAAGGGATGTACCATCTCCACAGAGACAGACTTGGTACATATGCACAGAGAGAGAAGACAGAGAGAAACGGAGGGAGGGAGAGGGGAAGGGGAGAGAGAGACTCTCCACAGACAACCTTCATATACACACACACACACACACACACACACACACACGGATATATCATCTTCACAAAGACGAGAGACAGAGACAGAGAGACAGAGACAGAGAGAAGATCTCTACAGAAATAGGCTTAGTATGTAAACAGAGAGAGAGACGAGAGAGAGAGAGAGAGAGAGAGAGAGAGAGAGAGAGAGAGAATCCCCTTATACCACCTAGACAGTTCCCCAACTCCAGGGACACAACTGTTGGCCCAGAGACACCCCATCCAGAGATGAGGGGATTAATAAATACATAACTGGCCACATCCAGGCAAGGGACACAACAGGAAAATGGGAAGCAGTCTTCAAAGCTTTAACAAAATGAAATGTCTCAAGAAAAATAAATATTTAGATCTGCAACAGGGTCCCAGAAGTTACTGTCAAATCCTTGAAATCACCCTATTTTCACACCTCCCCCAGATCCCTCGGGCCCTCTTCCTTCTACCTGGTCCCAGGACCCACTGCAGTTTCAAATCACCATACCCTGGGAACCTGCAAGCCTTGGAAAGACTAAAAGACTACATGAAGAGGGTAAGGCTCAAAAACACCTGTCAGTCATCACACAACTAAGTAATGGAGTCATCACTGAGGTCAGAATTGTGGCTGGGGGTCAGAGACAAGAAAGTGGGCATACAAGGACAGGCCAATTAATGTCAGGCGAGGATCGACCCCTCCCCAGTCGGAGATGGAGAGAACGGCCTCTCTAGGCTCTGGACAGCACTGACATCCCCTGGGGACAGGCCCACATCCTTCCCTGTAAAAGTCTCAAGCAAGCAAACAAAATTCATATTATAGGTCTGGGGGAGGGGTGGTCAGAAATGAAGTCTGTTTCAAGGCATTTTCTAGGAGCAGATGGGAGCCGACCTTAAAGAAAGCAGCCTTTCAGTGTACCAGCTCCCCTTCCTGGGCCTTCACAGGAGTGTGTCCTCTAAGAGTCACAGAGATACATATCCTGTGAACAGGGCTTATTTGTGAGTGAGAAAACGGAACAAGAGGATTTAAGCGCCGGCATCTAGCAAAATCCCCTACTCTGCGGAGACATCAGTCAATTAAGTGACGGGAAAAGAGGAGTGCCCCAGGTACCATGAGTCCAGGGGTTCCCACCACCGAAACGCTCTCGTGGAAGATGTCCCGTGGTTACCCCAACCCTCTTGATAGTGTCCTAGGGGATGGGCTCACTACCTCCGGTCTGACACACAACACACACACACACACACACACACACACACACACACACACACAGTACCTCACCCACCAGTTCACCAGAGCATCCTCTTATCCAGGCAGCCCTGGGCGGCGGTCAGACGCACTCAACCTGGGGGGGGAGGAGGTGGGGGTGGACTCTGCGCACCGGCCATGACCTTGGGTAAGCCCCAAAGATTAGCCCCATTTTAGGAACATTAGGAGTCTGGAAGAATCCGGTGGACCGTGCTGGCCAGCTCCGGGGCGCTTACCGGATGGTTTAAGGCGCCCGCCAGGGCACCGGATCCCTTGGCAGGTGCGCGGTGAGCCGCAGCCCGAGCGCTACGTGGCTAGCTGGGACAGGAAAACATTGGGTGAAATGCGGAGACCAGCCCCGGCCCCAGCAACCACAGAAAGAGGCGGATTCGACTCTGCGACGGCCAAGTTCAAGTCCCCAGCAGCCCTTCCGCAGAGTGACCATGCCCCGCAGCCCTGGCTCGGGACACGCACCAGGTGCGGGGAATCCGCCGGCGACACCTTCACACACCCACCCCAAAAGTTGTCGCAACGTGATGGGGGAGAGTGGCAAGGCGCTGCGGGCCGGTAGGGCAGGGCACGGTACTCACACGGGGTGGCCGGCCTGGAGCAGGTCCGCGGCGGGGGTCATGGATGGAGGCCAGGATCAGGGACACCTAGCCGCGGGTGGCCCGCGTCACCTGCCGCAGCGCTTAGCGCGCGATCGCAGGGCTGCGGGCAGAGAGGTGGGGACGCGGATCGCTCGGGGGTCTGCCACCGGGTTCACCCGGGCGGGAGCCGCAGCCGCAGCGGGAGCCGGGCAGCGCGGGCAGGAGGAGGACGCACGCACAGCAGCCAGGCAGCCAGCGCCGGCCGGGAGCAGCTGCAGCCGCCGACACCTGCTGGCCGCGCTGACCGCCAATCAGAGCGCCCCGGGCGGCGGCGCGTGCG